GAGAGAGAGAGAGAGAGAGAGAGAGAGAGAATGAGAGAATGAGAGAATAATACATAATTGTATGGCTACAAGTATCCCAAGGGAGTTATCTATTGTTAAATTGTTTGGCTATTGCTAAGAGAGGCTTTGGGATGGCTTCTCAAGTGAGACCGCAAAGGACTTTTTATCAAGGGGCTTCTAGCTATCCCTTTAGATTCTAAATATGAACATTAGCTTAAATTCTAGAGAAAGCTGGGGAGAAAGATTTTTGTAAAGGAGAAAAAAATATCAAGGATCCTAATACTGAAGGAAAGTGAATTTAGGCATGCATTAATATATGAATGAATGTATACATTTTCTAGCAAGTAATGTCAATTAATTTACATTCACAAAGGAAGATTAGCATTAGTAGTTACAAAAATCCTATATAACAAACATTCCCTTATCTATAATAGGAGAAGAACCCCAGGAGCTGCAAACCAGGCCTTCTGTAATCAGTTGCAACAGAGATAGTTTAGCTGGCCCTGTCACAGTCCCCAACCCACCAGGATTTCTTCTACAGCACCAAATTCATGAAATGACTTGGTAGGCCACAAAAACAACTGTGAATTACGAATGATTTGAATCCAGCAGTCATTTTTTTAAGGTCTCCTCACCCTCACTGCTGCCAATTTTTTTCCATTAACTCCCTAGCACTCTATATATCCATAGATGACTGAGAAGAAATGAAAAGGAGATTTTTAAAAAGAAAAGCTATACCAGCATCTGGATTTAATGGTATATTACAAAAGCACATTTTACACCTTTTGTATCATTTGCCATATTTTTTTTAATATAGAAAATAGGTTGAATATCATGTGACCATGCCATTTTCTACTTAGCAAACTACACTTTTTGTACTGATGTCTAAAGACTTTTCAGACCTGAAAAATCCAATATGATAGGGAAGCTTTTTGCTTCTAGATTCCTACTTCAATAGGCAGCATCACTGGTCTAAGATCATATAATTGTCCTATATTCTATCTTACTTTGATAGTATCTGCTCTACCATTCTGGGACATTGAAGATTTTGTTTACAATTTTTCTAAGGTTTCTATCTGAATTTTAAAAAGAAAAACAAAACAAATATGATGGAAGTGACAGAAAATGTGATGTTTTCAAATTGTTTAATGTCAACAGACCTCTAAATTTTCAGTGACCAGCTCAAGTCTGACCTCCCGCAGGAAGACATTCCCCAACTTCCTTAATATCTCTCTGCCAGGATTGTTGTGAGGCAAAAATGGATTAATATTTCTAAGAGGCTTTGCAAACCTTAAAGCACTATATAAATGCTAGCTGTATGATTATTATTACCCCATATTGTTGCTTGTCTGTTTTCTAACTCTCGTAAAACTTAGAGTTGCCACCATATTTTGATTAATTTGGGCAAATCATCCTTTGTTGACCTTAGTCTCCACATCTGTAAAACAAAGGGACCATTTTGGGACAGCTAGGTGGAGCAGTGGATAGAGCACTGGCCCTGGAGTCAGGAGAACCTGAGTTCAAATCTGGTCTCAGACACTGGACACTTACTAGTTGTGTGACCCTGGGCATGTCACTTAACCCCATTGCCCAGCAAAAACAAAACAAATGACCAAAAAAAGGGGGGGGGGGTGGACTCTATGGTCAAAGGGTTCCTTCCAGTTCTAAATCTATGATCCTATGTTTTATTGCTGGTATTACTGTCTAGGGTTTGTTTTTCACGTAAATTTTGTCTTTCCAGGAAGATTGCTCATGTTCAGCCATCTTAGTGTGTGCACTACATAGAAGTGCACTCTCAGGTCCTATGATCTACAATTTGGAATGAAGCAATGTTCTGGTCAGGCTAGAGTGTACCAAGGAACAGAGCAAGAATTGAGGCTGCTTATAAATCTGAGGGGCAGCTAGCGGCTCAGTGGATCAAATGATGCTCCTGGAGATAGGAAGACTCCTCTTCATGAGTTCACTTACTAGCTGTGTGACCCTGGGCAAGTCATTTATACTTGTTTGTCTCATTCTGCTCATCTGTAAAATGAGCTGGAGAAGGAAATGGCAAACCCCTCCAGTATCCTTGCCAAGAAAACATCAATGGGGTCACGAATGGTCAGACATGACTGAAAACACAACAACAATAAGTCTGAGAGTCAAAAGTAGAGCCTGCCTGGGAATTTTTCATTCTAGTCAATAGATATTTTGAGCGCCTGCTATGTCCCAGGCACTGTGCTAAGCACTGGGGATATAAAAAAGAAAAAGATAGTCCTTGCCTTTAAAGGAGCTTACATTACAATCTAATGACAGATGACACATAAAAGGAATATGAAAAGCTGGAAGCTAGTAGGGCACACCAGGGAGCATGAGGCATGATTTTCCGAGGAATACAAACCAATGAGAGCAGTTGTTGGAAAAAAGGATAGTTAGTTACTTGAAAAGTTCAGATTCCTGCGCTTTATAAAGGGAGGCTTTGGGAAGAATTTAGTGCTCTCCCTTCCAGCCCTTTAATCAGTGGGGAGAGGAGGCTAAGCAAAGTGAAGTATTAAGTATCTAAAACAGCATGGTGTTGAGATTTTAGGTGATGGGGTAAGATGGGAAGTCTCAAGGCAAGCAGAGCAGTTGGTGGAAAATCAGGGCCTAGTAGGCACTTAATAAGTGCTTGTTGACTTGAACAGTTCTATTCTTTATGGTGGCCACAAAAGCTGTGATTAAATAATTAATCCTTTTAATTTCTCTGAAACCTGAACCAACAAGAGCAAAGAGGGGTCTATCTCAGCTATTATTATAACAAGAATCTTGGTCTTTCTGTAGGCTTTCATAATCTTTTGTAATCTGTTGGATCTCAGCTAGCAGGGCCAGGCCAGTTTGATTAAAAGGATCATAGATAGGTTCATGCTCTTAGTAGTAGAAGAGGCCTTAAAGGTGATCTAATCCGACTTTCTTGTTTCAGTGGTTTGTTTTGGCTTGTTTGTTTTATTGATACCTTTTGATTTTACATCCCATTCATTTCTAATTCAGTTTCCCTCTACCACTCTACCTAGGGAAGTTTTTCTTCTGCAAAGATTGAAAAAGAAAAAGAGAAAAAGCAGGTCAGCCAAACCAAACAACACACTTGAAAAATCTAGGCAGCATACATAGTTGCTAACTATAGCCAGCACTTAGCATAATGCCTGGCACGTAGTAGGTGCTCTTTTTGTATCCCCAGCTCATAACATAGTGCCTGACACATAGTAGGCATTTAATATTTTGAATTGAATTAATAAATGCTTATAGACGACTCAAATATATTCTGCAATAAGGAAGGTACACTTCCTCAACTTTTTGGTTTATTATTCCTTCTATTTACATTCTTATAATTATTGTGTATATTTTCTTCATTCTGCTTATTTTGGTGTGCATCAGTTCATCTGCATAAGTCTTCCCATGCTTCTGTGCATTCTCCATCTTCATCATTTCTTCTGGCATGATAACTTTCCATTATATTCATGTGCTTGTTTAGTCATTCCCTGCTCAGTAGGCTGCTGTTTGTATTTTACTTCTCTTTCTTTGCCACCAGCAAAGATTATGCAATGAATACTTCAATCTTTTGTTTTACAGATGAGTCAGTGGAGGCCCAGAGAGGTTCAGGGACTTCCTCAAGGTACAGGCAGCAAAAGGCAGAGCTGAGATTTAAACCTAGATATCTCTGGACTGCTAAATGTGGAGTCTAGAGATACTTAGGTTTAAATTACAGCCCTCTATTGGCCTCCATTGACTAATCAGTTTCTCTCCACAGAGGCACACATTCCAGGCAAAAGTGTATCCTAAAGGCAAATCCAAGTCCTTTTAAATCTTTTAACTCAGTTCCTCTCCTTGGCTCTCCCACTTGGGGCAGAGGTTTTCAGGGCAAGGATCTAGATACACAATGAGTGCTCATAAGTAAATATTGAGTTGATTTGGAAAATTGACCTTTTGTGGTGACTTATCTAACATCATTGCTTTCTAATATCCATTGACTCTTAGAATGAACTTGTCTGAGTTCACCTCCACCCACAATTCTGTGAATGAAAATATTATCAAGCAATTGAGAAGGAATAAGAAAACCTCAGGACAAGGTGGAGCCAAGATGGTGGAGTAAAAGCAGTGACTTGCTTGAGCTCTCCCCCAAACTCCTCCAAATACCTGTAAAAAATAGCTCTAAACAAATTCTAGAGCACATGTGTGACCTTGGTCAAGTCACTCTCCCCCAGCCCCTTTGCTGTTTCAGGCCTTGGTTTTTTCATTGGTAAAATGAAAAATTTGGATTTGATGACCTATAAAATCTCTTCCAGCTCTACATTGATGATCCTTTGGCTTGACTTGTGCTTTGGAATTGTCATGCATTTCAGTACAGGCATTTGAAGTATGTCACTGATATTCTGTTATCTTTTCCTTTTCAGAACATAAATGTCCTGTTGATGAGAGGGAGCAACTGGAAGAAACTTTGCCTCTGATTTTGGGGCTGATCTTGGGCCTGGGCATTGTGATAACACTCACAATTTACCACATACATCACAAACTGACGGCCAATCAGGTGCAGATTCCAAGGGACAGATCTCAGTACAAACACATGGGATAGGGGGAGACAGCTAGCCACACTCTAGCCACTGCAAACCTTTATCAGGTAGTGAAAGCTCAAACACCTACAATGCTCTCCTCCTTCATTCCCCCTAGGACACACCAATAGAACTGCCACATATCAGCCAACACAATTGGGAGGCTCAGCACATGTTCATGCTTAATCCCTGTGGGTGAAGATTCTTCTCTCAGATTCTAAGGGTGCGTATCAGCCCTTTCATCTGCCCTCTCCCCATGCAGGAAATTTCCTGGGGAAGTCAGCCAATGTTCATGTTTTTCTGGCATTGCTTTGATCTGCCTAGGCTAGCACAGGCGAGTCAAGGAACAACATATCAAACTGAGAGGAGAGTTTAGCCTTACAGAGTAAAGACAGGAACTTTTTTTTAACCCTTCACGAAAAGAAACCCTTTTTAAGCATGGTTAAATGAGAGAATTCTTATTCTTTTGGACGTTTTTGGATTACCCTGCAAAGTTGTTGATAGGCAAAATATATAGCACCCCATGCTACTGCAAGTTAACTTGAAAGTGATACATGCTTTTGGCTGGGCATTCTGCATGTACAATGATTGTCATTGAAGTGTTACATTGCTACTTGCAACTGATGATTTCACAGCAAAAGGAAATGTTAAATTTACTATGCAGACTATTTCAGGCATTAAAAAAACATAACAGGTATAAATATCAGAACTTCATATAAATTCATGTAAGTTTGTTTTTAAAATATGGATTAAAATACACAGTATATAGCATTTGACTTCATTTCTTGGAGAAAAAATAAACAAACCTAGTAAACCTCTATGGCATAATGACATAATCATAGAGATGGAAAGGAATTGTTGCTATTTGTTAAATTCTTCAGGAGAGTTGATGGGATGAGGGAAAGGGGAAATAGTTTTCATTTTGGTAATGCAGAGGCAGGAAGGTGGAAAGACTAGGAAGGTGGTTGAGGCTGCAGATATTAAAAACCTTGATTAATTTTGGTAAAAATAGTTAATTTTAGTCATTGAACTCATGAGCCCATAATATAGCATTCCTTCCATTAGTATACATTAACATACGTAAATGACTGTAGGTCATAGGTTCAGCATATTTAGATTAAAACAAATTTTAAGGGAACTGATTATACCTTTGAACTAGTCTGAAACCCCAGGTGTTTTCTAGGCTTTCATTTTCATTGGATCCTGGAGATCAAAGAAAGAAACAGAATCACAGAATCTGAGTTAGAAGATATTGGCTCAACCCAATCCTTAACAAGAATTCCTTCTAACATCTATTTGATGCATGGTCATCCAACCTTCCCTGGAGACCCTGAGTGAAGGTGAACCCTTCTGGAAGCAGGCTGCTTCACTCTTAGATAAGGCTAATCGTTAGGAAATAATTTCCTTATATTAAGCCTATATTTTTATCTTTGCAGCTCTCATCCTTTGATCCTACTTATGCCTTCTAGGGATGAGTAAAATACAACTAATCCTTCTTCCACGTGACTGCCCTCCACCACTTGAAGAAAACTACCATATCTTTCCCAAATTATTCCTTTTCCAAGTGAAAATCCCTGGTTGCTTTAATGGATCCTCTAGGGTTCCTCAACATTTTGGTTTCCTTCTTCCTTGGAGACTCTGTAGGGGATGAAAAATTCCTAGAAATTTAAGCTTATGTCTCCCATTATTTTTTTTGCTCTTAAGATACATGACAAAGTCCTAAATCTGGTTTCTGATTCACAATTCCCAAGAAATGTTAGGCTTTGATTACTGTCTCTAATGTAAGCCTTCTGTCCCTTCTCTAATCCTTTCTTCCTGTATCTCAGGGAAGAGTCTCCTGCTTTGCTTTTAATCTTTGTCTTCCCAGAGCCCCACCAGTAAGGTTTAGCTGTCTCCAATTCTACTGATGCTCTACAGACAGGGGAAGAATTCAGCTAGAGCATAATCTCCTCTCACCTTTTAACACCTAGAAACATGAACATTAAGAAAGTAGAAATCCAAACACTTTCTCCTGTACTTGTTCCTTCTACTGTCACCAGGCTGTGGGCCTCTACTCTATGCTCTCAGAATATAAGCAAAAGTAGGAAAGTGGGCAGTTTGGAGGAAATACTTGTTCTCCCCACTCCAATATTTATAGATGAAATAGGAAAATATGAAAATGACAAGCAATGGAAAGTAAATTAACACGCACGCCAGAGATGGAAGATCAGACTTTGGATAGCTTTTGAGGTTGTCCTTTTAATGGAATTCACCAATGATAGGAGTTCATCCCCAAATGTTCATTATCTGGTCTAGCCTTAAAGGCGAGAAGTTACAGCAATTTCAAATTTTCTATTAGCTGCCAGTGTATTGCATTACTGATTCCCAGAAGATTTTCCTACATCTGTTTTTACTTTATTATCTGCTTTGTGCCAATAAGAAAAAAACTTTCCTATTTCTCTTCTAAAAGAAACATTTTAAATTTTAAAAAAGCTACAGCCAGTGTTTGAGTCATGATTACTCACTCCTTGTCGGCTCTATTGGTCAAGACCACCGTTCTGGGTCTTATCATCCTATTCTTCTGTTGTTTTTTTTTTTTCTCTTCCAAGTTCTACTTCCCCCTCTTCCTATTCTCTTCAGCAGGAATTCTTAACCTGAGGTATATGAACTTGATTTTTAAAAAATTTGATAACTGTATTTTATTTTCAGCATTTAAAAAATCAGTTGCCAAGGGGCCCGTAAGCTTCACTGGACTTCTGAAAAGGAGGTCCACAAAAGAAAAAAACAAACTTAAGAACCTCTACCTAGAGACAGACAAACATCCATCTCCAAGTCTGATCACTTTATTGCTGAATTCCCTTTCAGTGACAACACCATTTGAATCCACCCATTAGTTATGAACTTTTATCTTCCAAAACCTCAATACTTCTTGTCAAATTCCCCGTTGGAACAGACCTCAGAACCATCTAGTTCAACTCCTATGTAAAGGAATATCTGGTATATCATACCTGACAAGTGGTTACCAGCCTGTGCTTGAAGACCTCCAAGGATGGGGAATCCACAACCACTTGATTGAATCCGTTCCCCTTTTTGATCCTACAAATTGTTAGGAAGGTTTCCCCAATATCAAGCCCAAATTGGCCTATATGCACTTCCAGCCATTGCTTCTAGTTCTGCCCTCTGGGGTCAAAAACAATAATCTAATTATTTCTTCTACATGAAGTCCTTCCAACACTGTGTTTAAATTTGTGTGGAATCTTAACCCTCTCAAACCTCAAAGTCCTCATTTAAAAGGCTAACTCATGGTCTAGAGCAGAGCCATAAGATTTTCAGATATGGGTGGATCCTTAGAGACATTTTTATCAATTTCTGTATTTTATATCAGGGAGGCATATTTATTTTCCCAAGGACACCAAGGCAAATAATGGCAATCTGTGATAACAAACCAAGTCTCTCAATTTTGATTATAGGATTCTTTTTCACTCCTCCACTAGTCATAAGATCACAGATTTAAGAGCCATGAGGTCCTCGAAGACAATGGCAAAATAGCAAAACAAAACAACAATAACAACGAAAAAAAAACCTTTTGCCAGGTCTTACGAAATCTCATAAAGATTTTTAGCATGGGCAAAACGACAAACTATCTCTGTCACATATGTTGATGAGTCTGGTTAAGTTGGAGAGGTTCAACTTCAGGTTGTGTTCGGTGTGACCCACAGAAACTACAGAAGACTATCTATTAAGGCAGAGGGGGGTTTCCATCAGTAAGAGGGAACGCCATGCCCATAACAGTCAAATCACATATCTCTGAAGCATTGAAGTAAGTGCAGCCTCAAAAATATTCTGATGTCTCTGACCCTTTGGGAAAGAATTCTGCAAGGGAACTTATCAATGTGGGTTTAAGTCTTATAGCTATATGAGCCCATTTCTCCAAGTTATCAAAATGGGGGCCTATAAAACCTTTAAAGCCTATTATATATTTTATTCTATTATATATTTTACCATTCATCATCCACTTTGCAAAAAATATTTCTTACATGTAACTTGATATCTTTTAGTTCTAACCTTATTCTGCTTAGCCTCCTGTACTTTGACTTTATGTACAATACAGTAAGTTAAAAGATGTAGGATGAGAGCCTTCAGCTAAGAATTTTATTGATGATAAAGGTTAGTTATTTGAGTGGGCATGTATGGGAATCTGGAATTGGACTTGCCAGAATCTTCAGAAATAATATAGTTTCTCACCTATCTGAGTTGGCTTAGGTATGGGCTCTAACTTTTACATTTAGTCCAAGGATTCTAAAGTCCAAATTTATTCTCTTTCATGAAAAAGATTTTCCTTTTGACATGAATATATATAAATTAAATAAAGAATGATGAAGAAGTGAGGGGTAGCTGATGCTGAGAACAAATATAAGAATTGTGGTATAGTCATTCAGTCATGTGCAGCTGGATTTGAATTCAAGTCTTCCAGACTCCAGGCCTTATACTATCTAATCTTCTGCACCACCTAGCGTCTCCTAAATATAAGAATACTATGTGTCATTAGATGAATCCTAATAGGACTGGAAATTTTGGTTAATTTGGTTTGGGATCAGATTAAAGCTACCCAGGTGTGGCTCTAGTCTCAATTATTTTTGCTTACTACCTTTTTAAAATGAATGTTTCTTTTCTTTTTTGGAACTGACATGTGATTTTATCAGTGTAGGAAATTCTTAATGAGGAACTCTATGATATCATTTCACACCTTCTCTGCAACTTAGTCTTAGAAAGTTGCCCAGAGCACAGAGAGATTGACTGCCTTTCCTAGGGTCACCCAGCTGGTATGTTTCAAAGGAGGGAATTGAACTCATTTTTCTCACCTGTTGCCTTTTCACTCACTTCCTACGTATACCACATCAGAATTCAAAATCTGAAATCTCAAATGCTGGATCGTATCTTTGCAGACATATTAATGTTGAGAAAGTCACCAGGACTGACCCTATCCCCGATTTTCTGTATGTTCACTGAAGATCAGGTTACTTCTTTGTAGACGGCTTTGAGC